TGGCGGGTTACAAAAAGTGCTGAGAGGCTTCATGCCCTTACCACTGAGATCCCAGAGCAATGCGCCAACCCCCAGGGTTTTCTCCAGCCCTGCTCCTCCCTAGAGATCCAGCCCCTGATGCTATGGGCTGTCTGGTGGCCCAGCCTGGGATCCGCTCTCGGGGCCTCGCCTCCTCCCAAGTGGAGTTAGCAGACGAAACAGTCTCTCTTGCCCTAGGTCATGTCAGATTTAGCCTTAGCCTGACTTCCGTCAACATCAGCTTAAATTAAATTCACCATCCCTGGATGCCCAGAAAAGTCCTCAGACTGGTTGCTAGTCAAGTTTAGAAGATTCTTGGATTTCAGCATCAGAAAGGAGCGACTGTGTCTGGGTACAGTCAGTTGGTTGGAGGGGGACTGGTTGCCCTAATCCTGACTTGCTCCATCCACAAGACCCCCGTCCATCTCTGAAGGCCGGGTTCCGGGCCAGGGCTGGGGCAGGCCTCTCTGGGGACAGAGGCCCGTCACCATTGGTTTCGCTCCTTGACCAAGAGGCCGAAACGACATCATAATGTTAAGGCAGTGAATGTGAAACAGAAAACAAGTGGCTTCAGTTCCAGGAAGTCAGAAATGGAAGGAAAAGTTGTAAATATTCTTTGAGACCCACTGTGGACTAGGTTTTGTGCTGTGCTAGCCAGAACTCTGCTGCTGACTTGAAGTAGGACCTTGGGAAAGCCCCTCTCCTCTCTAGGCCTCAACTTCCTCATATGTAAGTACATCTGGGATTAGTCAAGACCCTTCTGGGCCTGACAGGCTGTGTGGTTCTAGGTGTCCCAGGACTCTATCCCCCAGGGGGTCAAAGAACTTGAAGACATGTGCGGAGGGATGGGGAGAAGGGGACTAAGAAATGTCCAGTGGGGGTTCTTGTGATAAACTTGACTGAAAGGGGGAGGACAAGAGGGAATAAGAAAATAAAGTAAAAAGAGGGAAGAACATAAGAGAGGGAGTTAAGGAGAGGGAAAGTAGGAAACCTGGAGGTGACCACAATGACCTCAGGGCTCCTCAGGTACATCCTGGCCGGGGGTGGGGGGGTGGCAAATTGTATTTTCCAAGGAAGGCCTCAGTACCATTGCTGCCTTTTGCAATGTGGTCTTGTCATTTCTCTATGAAGAAGCAGTTCAATTTCTCTCCCTTTAAACATGGGCTGCCCTTATGACTCGCTTGTAACCAGTAGAATGTGGTAGCAGTTACGCTGGGTGCCTTCTGAGGCCCAGTGAGCAGGAGTTTCTTTTTTTTTTTTTTTTAAGATTTT